CAAATACGATTTATCATTGAATAATTCAAAAAATAAATAAACAAAATAATAAATCAAGACATAAACAGCATTCCCATCAATCGCAAATTTATTTGTTTAATACTCAAATGTTATTGAAATTATTTTTTCAATGCATAAAGCGTGAAGAATATTTTTGCGATGAGAAATTTTTTTTCTAGGCAGTTTTAAAATCTAGAAATCGAGGATTTAATCGTTTCTTCGTGAGAGAATAGTTTAATTATGTAAACAATTGAATTGTAAAGTCGGTAATAATTATATTCCATTGGGATAAATAAATAAACATTTGTCGGAGGGTGAGACGGGATATAAAAATCTTATGATTTTCATTTAATTTGAGTTCTACGGAATCCTCCATTGCTGGGAGTTTCATCCAGGAATTTATTATTTAAACAATGGATTAATAAATTTACCTGTCCAATGAAACAGCGACGAGACTGTAGACGGAAGCAGCAACAGAGACTCCCTGAACATAAGACACTGTCTTGCACATGAAGCGTCCAAGGACCCACGCTGAAACAGAAAATTAAAAATCCAATTTAATTAAAGTAATTAATTAATTACCAAAAAACGTAGCAACGGAAAATTAATTCCAAATGTTAAAAAAAAAATTCATGATTGATAGTTTTTCATATGACCGGTAACTCTGATGGACGTGAGTTATTAATCCATTGGATTATTTATTCAATTATTTATTTAAAAAATGATCTAAAAAAATTGATTTAAAAAATTATGATTTTTGTCTCTCTCTCTCTCACTCCCGCAGAAACAATTTTTGCCTTTTCGAGGCAATCGGGAACTTTGATAATTTGCAATAAACAAACGGCATTTTAAATAATTTTTGGGTTGAATATAGATTTTTTATTTATTGTTCCTGATTTTTTTCGATTTCTTCTAGATCTCGATCTTTAACACTAATTTCATTTATTTATTTTATTATCAAGAATATTTTAGTCATTAAGATTATTGCCGGAGTGTTAATATAAACATAAACAATGACTTCATAGGGAAAATTAGCTGAGAGTTCCTTATTAATAAATGATAATATTCTTTTGGACTTTGTGACCGGTATTTCATCTGTCCCAGTCCGTGGAGTACAGACGTCACTTCCTCGTATAATTAATAATAAACTAAACAAAAGTTCAATTCACTGCGTTTTTAAATTATTTTTTATAATTATTCTTGACCCATTTCCATTATCTTAAACGCCAAATTAATTTTCATCATAAAACTATTATTTTCGCATTCCCTAATTAATTATTATCAACCAACACTTTCTTCATTATTATTTATTATTTAGTAACTCCAGTTAAAAAATGTCTACCGATTTGAATCTTTAAAATCTGAATTTCGTATGTAGTATTTGTTAAATAATCAAGATGGATCACGTAGATTTAGTCATTGAATTCAATAATTGATTTAGCGTGTGGAGCAAGGGCACACCCAGTGGTCGAAATATAGGCCATGACTATAGCATAATTAATCGGGAGAGAGAGAGAGAGACATTGGCAACCTTTAATGCGTGGAAAACAGTGGGAAATGTCATCGGTTGCATTCATCGTTGTGCATAAATTGATTCACCCATGATACACGATTGGCTTTCGTATGCCGCTCTCATCCAACACACTGGCATTAAAAACCACTATAAAGGATTTCAGTACATAGGAAAGTGAAGGGCAGGAGCAATGTTGAAAGGCAATACGAACCACGGAGCGTTAAATGGTAATTATCTGTTGTTTTTTTGATAAAACCCTATTTATCTGATAATCCAGTATTACTGGAATTTTTTTTTTATCGAAATGCCCAGGAATTAGGCATAATCCACCCGATGTAATTTTTATAAATAAATACTCAAAAGAAATCGAATTGAAATCAAATGGAGATTAGATGTGGTGTTGGAATATAGCCTGAGT